GTACTGTATTTTCTGGGTGACATGGGAAAGCCTCATTTGAGGGAAAACGCTTGTCCAGGTACGGTCGTCTCGTTTGACAAAACTCCAGCTCGACAATGAAACTGGGGGACAGAATGTACCAAATTGTGGAGCCCGCGTGAACCCAACCGAATCCAGTCCCACATCCTGACCGCACAGCCGCGGCCGTACGTAATCGATATCTCTATTAGATATTTATTGTTAAGGCAATCGGGAATTTTCCTATTTATTCGCATTTGCTCCATGACAACGATTAGCGAGTAACAGGTATAATCCACCATCGGTGCTATTTCAACATTATATTTTTAATATAACAATATATATATTATGTTATTATTCTGGATGTATATGGCGAGTATATAGTAGATTCACACGCGGGATAATCCCATGGCTGAAGGCAGAAGGACCGCTTAAGCCAGTCTGTAGAGATTAAAATCGTAAACGAACAGGTACGAACAACGCCTAGGGGCTAGTAATGTAGTTGTTGCTACAATTTTTAAAAAATCCCGGGAAAATGTGTCAGCCCTCACAGGGTATCACATTTTTATAAAGGGAAGTAAATAAATTTCTGTTGAAATAGCGTGGAATATTCCTCATTTGAAATTCTTACTCGTCACCCTCCGCATTTCCACAACCAGCACGAAACTCTTGAGAGGAGAGATTTTTCTGGTTTTATACCGATATAAAATGGTAAATTTCGACCTGCTACAGTTCAGACATTTAAAATACTCAACTAGGATTGGTCAAATTTGATATTTTATGGCTGCGTAAAACCAACAAAATCTCGGACCAGATAAACCCTTTAATTATAAAATAAACTAATAAAATAGAGGATTGTATTCTCGTGGTTATGGACCTTAGAATGATTTTAACAATCCTAAAACCTATGAAAATTGGAGCCACTCGAATTTTTAAATATTTTTTCAACGTCTCCAATAATCAATCGACTCCCCAGGACGATATTCGTTAATATTTTCTACAAAAAATTAAAAATTAATAAAAGCATTAGCATCAAATTATACAGTAACATTTCTTTAGACTTTCCATTAATTCAGTCGTGAATAAAATACTCGTGATACTATATTGAAATCCATTTCACCGTCAGCTGTCATACAACTTTTCGAAAAATTGAAATATCAATTAGTCGTATGTCACTAAATTCAAATCTTTATTCGTAAATGCATGACCTTTCGATATTTTTTATATTTATTTAAGAATCGTATATTTAATTAATGGCATTCATTACGCCATTCATTAATAATCATATTTATGCCATCGGTGCCTGTAATCGCGCGATTCTAACCTCGCTTCGCTCGATTAAATCGCGGATTCCAGGCGCGATGACATAAAATTTTTTCAAGTATTTTTAATCGGTTCTGTTGCGCTGGAAATATCGAATCCCGGAAAAAATATCCCACACATTCAAAACGTGTTAAAACTCGCTCAATTTAATTATTTTTTAATTTAATTATTTTTTTCGTTGTCTATTTTTTCAGGGACTCTAATTTTCCTATGGTCTATCAAATTGGGTGGGTTTTAACACGTTTTGGGTGTGTGGGCTATTTTTTCCGGGGATATTTTTTCCGCCTACCGGAAATATCATCACGACGATAGATACTAATGGTTTATGTCATTCTTTTAAATATTCCTATACATCAATGAATGATCAATGATATGCTTCCCTTACAATAGATTCGAGAAGCATGAAAAATAAAAATGTTCCTCAACCTTTAACAAGAACTTCATTTTAATTTTTCATCGCTTCAATTTTCGGTCAGAATCACCTACATTTTACCACGAGATTTCATCTCTAAAAAATCTTTTGTCGAATGTTTCTATGGATTTATCAATATTCTATAAATATAGAATGATAAAAAAAAATAAATGTACACTTCGGTCGCCAATAATACTTACATAATCAACAGTATTGTGCTCATAAGGCTTGGACACATCAATTCCATCACACACAACTGAATTTTCCGAGTGTTTCATGCAGCATTGTCTGAGCTCCTCGATCACCCCTTCACAACGAGCTGGCTGATAGACGTTATCTAATTAACAAAAATAGATAAATTAAAAAATAAACCTGCATCTTACCATAACCTCAACCCGGACCAAAATATAATTTCTACAAACCTTTCAGACACGTCTGCAATTTGCAAGCGAATTTCTTACAAACGTCTGTCTTACTCATGCAATTGCCGGGCCTCTTTCACGACAATTACAAATTATCCAGTTTAAATAATACAAATTCACAAAATGTTACGCAATTGCGATGTGCGGTAAAACATGCTAACAGCTGTGACCGGCAGCCTAAAGATGGCATTCCAATGCAGTCTGCAAGATTCGGATAAAAAACCATTGAAGTCCATGAGAACAGTCTTAAGAACAAATCCACATCACGGAAATGTCAACCAAAATCGAATTTTCAATCAGGACAGATAAGATAAATCAACCGTAATTCGAACTCCACGTGGACATCTCTCAACAATATTCATTACTTGACGAACAAGAAGAGCATCATGGAATAATAAACAATTGATTGGATTATCAATACATGATAACATTCAGTGGGTGGAAAAATCAATATGAAAAGTCTGTTCAAAGAGCTGAGGATAATACACTTGTCCTGATTAAGTTAGTATAGTGTTTTTGACTATGAAATAAAATATAATTCATCTACCACCATGAAGATTTA